CACCACAAAGCTGTCAATTTGATGCCCCCCCCCCCCCCAACCGCACCTGTGATGAAGCCGCAAGAAACAAAAAAGAGAAAGAAGGAAAAAGGTAGATAGAGCAAGTAGCAAAACGAAGCATACCCCCCGCCACAGAAACATGAGGAAACACAAAGGATAAGTAAGAATGCCTCCCCCAAAACTATTGCACAGTTCTAACCTTCCTGTGAAAAAAACACTCTAAGTATGACAAAAAAGTAGGAATATTGTTAGCCCGTCGTTCCCCCTCAGTCGTGTCGGTCAGTTAGGACTTTTGAGCTGGAGGTGGTGGGGCGCCTTCCTTGGGTTCGCTACTATCATTGCTCTTTATGCCGTTAAACTTCCCAGTGGGATCTAAACGGACGATCATGCAGCTCAAGTTGTCGGACGAGAATCTGCCGAGGGCATAGTCGACGAGCATTTTACTGGCTTCTTGGGGGTCCTGAACCTGGCGGACGAGGTCGACCGCTTCCTGGTCCGAACAGACATCCCATAGCTATATACATATATGGTACTGTATCAGCAATCGTATAAAGGGTCGATCAAGATGCGGAACAAACCCCATCACAAGCGAGAATGATAAACTCATCTGCTTCGGGTTGGAGAACCGTCTCGGTGGTATAAGGGTGTCCGGTGACAAGCTCCTTCATATAGCTATCACCCAAAGCACGGGTTACAGCGAGAACTCCTGCTCGGCCGCAGAAGTTAGCCATAAACACCCCCGAACCCATTCCAGATATCTCGGACAAGGAAGGACGGGAACCGACCATTGACACGATTGTTCAGTATGAGTCCACCGGCGTTGGCAACACGTTTCCCTTCATTCTCATCACTTCCCTTATGATCGTAACTTAATCTCAAGGCTTTCCCGCTCCTACAAAGAACAATTCTGGCATCTCCTACGTTGGCGGTATATAGCACTCTCTGCCTCTCACTTTGTTGGATTGCAGCAGGCTTGGCGTTCTCACTACTACCGCTCCCATTCTCTTTTGGGGCCTCGGCAAGAGCGTTAGGTGATCTCCTCTCCTCCCACCTCAAGACGGCACAAACAGCTGTGCAGCCGCTATTCTTTACAGGTAGTTTCTCCAACTGGCCGTCGCAATTGGTGAAGGTGATATCAAGGAGCTCCGGTATGGGTGTATTGGGATTTTTCCGGATCGTCTCCTCAAGCACCAAATGTAACTTCTTGCCACACCAATCAGCCGCATATGTTCCTGCATGTCCATCAAAGATCGCAAAGTAACCATTGTCCGAGTCGTCAACCGGCTCCTCATTCGATAGGGAGGAGTCGGTACCGGAAGCAGCCGTGCCCGTTGAAGAGGAAGTTCCCGGAGGGTTGGACGCCGAGGTCTGCAAGAAGTTGTACAGGTATGAATGCGTATCCTCCATGGTTCTCCTGCACTTCTTGTTCTTGTCCTCCGTCACCCCAACCCTAAATGTACTCTTTGGCCCCGGTCTCGAGTCTCCGGCCGAGTTGTTGTGGGGACCAACGGGGACCGTGCTCGGGTCCTGCTTCATGGCCTTTTCATATTCCTTCTCCTCGCTGCTACCTCCCAAACCGGATAGCGAGTTCCTCGCGGATGCGATGAAGGCCGAAGCCTTGGAAATGGACCCCCTCCTCTTTTTCTCCAAGGGCGGCGGGGTCACTGCGGCCGTATCGATGGGTGGGGGAGCCGGGGGATTGGTGGACTTTGCGGGAGGCGAAGCCTCCGCGGTATTGGCCGGGGGTGGGTTGCTGTTCCCGAACATCCTGGCGAATAAACCACCGCCGGAGCTGGTCGACGTACGTCTCTTTCCAGCCAGCTTTTCCTAAAGACGGTCTCGGTGGCCGTAGGGTATTGGTCCTGACCGGGAATCGAGCTGTCCGACTATGCGAGAGCTGGAGTTGAGGGTATCGGAGTAATGGTTATTGAGAGTTTCGTAAAGTTTGTGCCTGTTCGGCTGGTCGGGCCGGATTAAGCCTATATCCCCACCTCCAATCTACTCACGGCGTGGGGCTGCAGACTTACCTTGGTAAAAGGCGATCGGTGTTCTGGGTCCGGGGAGGAAGGGGAGACGGAGTGCTGGGTCAAACAGCCTGATGATGACAAATAATCCAGCAAAAGGAGCCAGTCAGCCCACGCCCACGGTACGGTATCAGGGCGGTTATCTTTCACCTCAGGTGGACGAGTGCGGCGGTGCAAGCTGTTATCGATGAGTCTCTTTCTCCTGCCCTCTCTATTTCCAGCTCGCACGTTCCACTTAAAGCCCAGAGCCGGCGAAGAGGGGGGGGAGGGCTCAGGGTGGAAAAGGCGTAGTGAAGGGTGAAAAAGGGTGTTTGAAAGAGGGTTGTGTGTTTGGGGGAGCGGTAATGGGCGTGGTTGGTGACAGTTCGAATTGGGAGAGGGGGAGGGGAGGGAATGACGACGCGGTGAAAGGGCAGGGCAGGGCAGGGGCAGATCAGACAGGTTTTGACTGGCTGGTAGAGTTAACCCAATTTTGGTAGCGCAGTGTACGGTACGGCTTCGACAGATCTGAGTGGGCAAACAAGCAGGAACAGGGTCGCACTGGAAATATATACACGGCCCTTTTCCGCAATCCCTCCTATTGATTACTGTAGCCGCGGGTATAGTGGTACCGTACCGGCACCGTATCGGTGTCAGATAACTTACTATGGTGACTTATCCTGCAAACGATGGCCAGGCCAGTCAAACCAAGGTGAGAACGGCGAACGGGGAAAAAGGAAAGAAAAAGAAAAACCACCGGATCCTGCTTGTATCATATATATACATACGGTGGCCCCGATGCAGAAAACGCGCGCCGTAAGTCGCACCGTCCACGGAGAGATCGAGAAGCCCGGGGTGAGCCATCCCTGCCCCGGGAGGAGAGGTGGGAACGCGGTGCAGCGGTCAAAGGAAACCTCCACCTGCCTGCTGCTCGTTGCCCCACTTTCCCGACATGCAGTCCATTCTCTCCCCTTTTTTTCCCGCGACTGCGCTCAGCTATCGCTGCTGCCTGCGGTAGATAAGTCAAACGGGGCCCCGAGCAATGGTCCATTGATCCGATCCTTTTGCCATCGCTCCCTCCCTCCCTCCCTCAATCTTCGGACCCCATCCCACGGGTGCGCTATCGCCAGCTGATGCTAGCACTTGGCCAGCCACTTGAAGGGCAACCGTGCGGAGCTGTTCAGGCGCCCCACCGTTGCCATGACGTGATGCCTCACCAATCACGGCCGGGCTCGCTGTTTGAGCACATATGCCCTCGCCTGGCGTGTGCGCCCGAGGTCCTTCCGGCCTGGAATGTTTTTGGCAAGTGGTGGTGCAGGCGGTTGCTGTAAATAGTTTTATGCGGACGCCGTATTCCTCTGCAGACCACCCCTCATCCCGGATCACTCGTTTCCGCGTCGTGTGACGGAAACGAGTGGTGACAGGCGGGTAGCCGAGCGCTTTCTACCGGGTGTCTGGAGAAATGGGGTGTGGTGATTTGCTACCCTATCATGTGTGGGTGGCCCCTGGCGCACCGCTATTCATCGATCAAGTCATAATATTGTTACCGGTACATTGTGACCGCCGGCACAATCTCTGACGTGCGTTCGTGGCTCTCATTGTATGGTTAAGCGATAGATAAGCCGGTCGCGGAAACACCATCTACACGTTTTCCGAGGCTTGCGTCGGTAGATTTCTTGGGCGTGAGAAGCTATTATTAACGGAGAGCTGTGATTGCAGTGGTGCACCCGAGCGTGCTCCTTTCGAGGGAAAAAATAGAAATGTATGATATGGTGGACGAAAGCAAGGCCCTCGATCAAACTCGGAGCAGCGCAGGAGATATCATATCCATGGACCGGGAGCACCGGTATCGTGCCGAGCCTGATAGGGGCTGGCTTGGTGGATGATGCGGAGTCCTTATCTGTGGACCTGGTTGGCCCAAATCTGTATCTGAAGTCACCCGCCACCCCCATCAGCGATGTGGTTGCGGTGGGGGGAGACCCTAACGGTCGGGAATCGATAGCGCGAGGAAAATCCTGGCCCGTGACCACCCCCCTCCTTATCATACCCCCATCCTCCGAACATAACGGATCACTCGGCCTTCCTGTCTCCACGGCGTGCCTGTTGGCGGGTACGGCGCGGGCAAGTTAGAACCAATCTTATGGGAGGGAGGCCTATTGCGCACCTGTGATGGGCAAACCTTAGAGTCTTACATTCGAGCCTTTGCGCACCAAGCTCCAACGGCATTCCGAAAGACACTAGAACAGAATTGGGCTTAGGGGTTCAGGTGGATAAACCATCAGAAGGGCCCTGTTACTTGCTCACGCGTTCATGCGCCTTATGGCGGGGATATAGATTTCTAGGCACCGTGGTTACCCTTGTGGCGTTGTTCCTGGATGGAAAACGACGGGAGCTCACGAAGCGTTGCTGAGCCAATATCTTGGGCTAAATCCCCTGGGATATAGTGATCACTTAAGGTGGGTGAAGGTGTGGGAGACGGGAGTGTGAGCGCCCTCTTGCTGATGGGAGACACCCCGGAAATAGTACACATGAGAAGCCGGTTGCTTAAAGCGTTGTTACTTTGTCAACCCCGCCGGCCGGAATTCGGAACGGGCAACGTTCGGGGCCAACCTGAGGATGGAAGGCGCGATAGAGAGCATGATGCCTGGTCTCGACATTCCATGTTGGGTGGAAATTGTTGGAACAGAGGAACCGCTATGCTGGCCGTTGAACGAGAATTAATGGGGTCCCGGGAATTACATCGAGTGCGTGGTCCGAACCCTATGTGTAGATTCCAAGACGCCTCTGTTGATGAAGAGGTATCCCAACTTTGGAAGGATATCCGCTCTTGAAAATACTCGCACAACGGACGATATACCAGTGCAAGCGCTCTCCCTCCCTTCCACCAATCGTGGAATACCGCCGATATGTTGCACCTTTACGACCCCACACAGGCGGTGCCAGGCACACTCAACCTCTGGTCATCCAACCACGATAAAACTGCAACTAACCTAACTCCGATCATAACGCAGGGACGGTCCGGGCTATCAAGGCCGGCAAGTGAGATCGGTGAAATCCGGGTTAAAAATGTACAGTACCAGACGCACAATCGACCAAAAGCGGTCCACGACGACCTTAAAATATCGAAGAGTACTGTACTGTGCCATGTAGAAAAAAAAAAAAAAACTATAAATATCTCTCACTTTTTTTTTTATCATTACAAAACACGTTTCCATTTTAAGGGGCTTCGCATGGGTCGAGGGCAGAAAAAATTTCCGGAGGGACGAGGAGCGAGTCCTTCCCCGGACACAGATGTAGAGTGAGATTGCATGACGCTCGGGTCTGCTTCAGCTCGGACGGTACCTGAGTGTATGTACGCTGGTACTGTACGATACCCACGGCCGAAAGCAACCCAACGCGGGGATCAACAGGAATAACGCGCCAGCTGTGCATTGGTATTCCCAATCAATCAATCAATCAATCAATCAATCACTCACTCACTCACTCACTCACTACCTTACTCTTTTCTATTCTATCCGTGCTTACGTTCAATTTCCTCCTTACTCGAGTACACCGTTTCTCCGCATTTCGGGTATGGAAAGAGAATGTGACAATCCTCCCACGCTCACGTATGATATTCATTCACCTACGTAATATGTTAATAAGGTATGCTGTGGCTTGACTTGGCTTTTTGACGGATCACCATTTGGGGAGGTGGGGGTGTGAGAACCGCCGAGATCTATGCATGCAGGGTAGGATCTGAGGTGGTCCAGTTGGGGAAATCTATTTGACTGCAGCTGCTGTATCATATCATACTCGAGTACCGTACCGTACTCGTACGGGCTATGGCAGCTACCTGCTGGAGCCTTTTTCCTTTTCTTTTTCCATGACGCTGCGGAATGTGAGGCTTGGAGTATCATAACCCGGGAGACTGTTAGTCACGTGTCCACAGGTATAATATGTTATTTGATGCAAGAAACTCGGGTTTGTGAAGCTGCCGGTGGTGTATCATATATCTTCTCGACGACGATGCGGCATGAGGGACGGATTGTTTGTGGGGATAAGGTTTAAGGGATCTACCGGGTATCGTGCTGTATCATACTCTACTCGAGCGGGTTATTTAAGTACCTTACCGTATTATATATATGCCCATTCGGAGCATTTTTTTACGCGGGTCAAGTTAATCAGCTATCATATATACGAGTACAGTACCAGTTGGAGGATGCCGGTTGCCCGCGATACCTGTACATCTCCTCCCCAGGGGTGATTACTACAATGTTCCAATGGCTCAAGTTGGTGGCATGAGTATCTATCGTACTCGTACTACAGTACGTTGCCCATGATGGAATCCCAGCGTTGAGCCGGCACGATTTGCAATTCTTCAGCGTCGAATGGGGGGGCTTCGTTGGGTTTTGGCCCGGAGCTGGCTGTGACTCAATATGGGCGCGCCATCGTGCCCCCGAAATTTAAACCAAACCGCCCAATTCCCGCTTCACTTAAGGCATCGTGCCCGTACCCTGCAGCCTCAATTTTACAGTACCATACTGGTATCGTGCTCCCCCACCATCACCACTACCACCCACCATCTATCGTACCCCCTCGTCTTTATCCTCACTTTGACCCTCACTCCCCCACTCCGCAATCATCGTCAACGTGGTGATCCCGAGACTCGCGGTTGCCTTCCACGAAATATCTTTCCCCCACCCTCCCCTCCCAACACACGAACTCCGCATGGTAGGATAGCTTCCCCCGCATTTTAACCCGCACCGACCTCGACCCCTCCCCGCCCGCTCGGCGCCTCCACCACATAAGCTGTTTCTTGTTGAAAATCACTGACCGTTATTTTTTTCCCCTGCTCCCCCCAGAGTTATACATCTTCCCAACGCTCTGCCATTCAGCAGTTTATCGCCTTCACTGCATGCCCCGAGCGCACAGCTGCTAAGGTGTCTATCTACCTCTCATCCTTATCACCTCTTACTCCCCCCCTGTATTGCGGGGGCGTGTATGGCCTGGGCCCAGCATGACGGAACGAACACGGGAGGCAAAAGAATGAGAAGAGCTAACGAGAAATCGGACGAATCGTTCCAATTGGGGAGAGTCATAGTTCCTGAAATCACATTCATGGGACGTTGAGGTCGCGGTTGATTCGTATGTTCTCTCCCCATTTTCCTTTTCCCCTTCCGTTCCCCGGGATATCCTTCACTCCCTTTCACTACCCCCCCCCCGCACTAGTTCTCAACCTTGTTCCCCCGCACTGCCCCCTCCATTCCTCCGCGGCGAAGTCTTGGGATTCCACTGCGAAAATGTCGCCTGGTTTTCCAAGGGGTTCTTCCGTTATCTCACCCCCGGCGGAGGATATGATCGGGAGGTGGGAGGAAGTGAAGTGAAGTGCAGGAGGAGACATCATTTTCTGGTTGCTTAGCAAACATTTTTGTTGCCGTTTCGTTATCCCCCCCGCTCTCGTTACTGGCTACCGAACCATTTATTACGGTACTGTATTCCTAGGAATCTACGCCTCGCTGCCTAGTACAAATATTAAGGCAACAACCTTCCTTGTTGCTTAACATATCCTCCCCACACTCCCCTCCTACCTGCTTATCCACGCACATTTCTCATAACTATTGTCAGAACCTCGTTTTTTTTTCTACTTGCATTCTCCCCCTCCCCTGAACGCGTCTCCGTATCTCGAATATCCCTGGCTACCGTGCCTCTCTGACGGGGGGGAGGAAAAGAAAAAAGAAAAAAATATATAAAAATTGTTGCCCTAATATGTCTCGACGGTTCAACAGATACTTTACCACGAACAACTCTTCGTCGACAATGCCATCCTCGGCCGATCCGGCGCTGAGGAAGGTATTCGACCAGTTTCGAGGTAGAATACAACCCCCTCCCCTGGTTTGAAGTGGGACATGACAGCTGAAACATAGAGCCCTTCGATACAGAACCCGGCGACCCGGAGGATACAATGACGGTTAACGGCGTCATGAAATTCCTTCCGGCAATTGGTGTGGGCCTCGAAGAGGAGACGGTCCTCGTCCTCGCGGAGGCTCTGAGAGCCCCAACGATGGGTGAATTTGCACGAGAGGGATTCGTCGAAGGGTGGAAGGCTCTCAAGTGACCCCCCCAACGACCCACCTCTATTCCCCCAGGCTGACAAAAATACTAGCTGTGACACGCTCGATAAGATGCGAGCCAGAGTCCCCGCCCTCCGCATTTCCTTCACCAATGACGAGGCAACCTTCAAAAAGGTCTACCTATTCACGTACAACTTTGCCCGCAGCCCCAACCAGCGCTCCCTGCAAATGGACACCGCCATCGAATACTGGAAACTCCTCTTCACCCATCGCTTCCAGAAGAACCTGGAGGACTGGATCGAGTTCTTGGAGACTGAGTATAAGAAGAGTATTGCGAAGGATACCTGGAATTGCATGTATGACTTTGTACAGTTTGCTGATAAGGATCCGGAGTTGAAGAGTTATGATGTTGATGGTTGGTCCCCCCCTCCCCCCCTCCTCTGCAGTTAGCCATAGTGGGATTAATCAATGGTGATGGCGGTGGCGATGGGGGCTATACAGGCGCATGGCCGTCAATATTAGACGACTTTGTCCAATTCTCACGCAAGAAGAATGGAACGGAACCATCCCCTCAGGAGGAGATGGATATTTCGTGAATTCTTGATGTTTTTCTAGTCTATTCATTTTTTATTTTACTCTGGTTTCCAACTCTCTCTCTCTCTCTCTCTCCCTCCTAACTCACTGTTACAAGTGGCTACCGTATTTTTTTCTCATCTATCATTTTCCATCTCTCTCCATATCCGCCCCTTCTTCTCTCCTTCTCTCTGTTCATCATTTTGTAGGATGGGTATAGAATGATATTTACATTGCATGGTATTTATTTGTTCGCTATTCATGCTTGACTGATAGGTTGGGCTTTCCCCTGGGTGATTTTTACTTTTTGAATTTGTGGATGAGTAAATCTCGGCGGCCGGGATGGAGATGGGGATGGAGGCGGAGGAAGGAGGTTGCGTCGGGTTCTATATAATACTAACTATGATGCTTTACTTACCGGCAAGATGCGCGGTATCATAGAACAGTACCATCGATACCTCATCCTTTTACTCGCCTCGTTCGCGGATTTTCCAAACCTCCAACGATCTCTAGAACAAAAAAGGGTTCAATTTTTTTTTTTTGTATTCTTAACCCCCCCCCCCGAAAAAAAGAGAATGAAAATGAAAACGAAAATGAGGACCCCAAACTAGACTACCTACATCGGCTCCCCCACATCAAAATGCAAAAGTAAAAGCAAGGACAAACACTCTCGAGTGACACCCCATGAGCCCATTATCGTAGACCTGACGAACTAACCAAATTATAACGAAAATGTGGCGACGCACCGGCGGGTAACGCGGGAGAATATCCTCTCTAGTGTGTGCGAGAGAGAGAGAGGGAGGAGAGGAAAGGGAGAAAGGGGGAAAAAGAAAAGGAAAGAAAGGAAAGAAAGGAAAAAGGACCCGTCTATGACCATAATACGATGATGAATAGCAGTTATAACTAAGAAGGCTAAAAAAAAAGGCTAAAAAAAAAAAGCTAAAGAGAAGAAGGGGGAGGTAAAAGAAGAAATGATAATGAGTGATTAACGCTGGATTGTTTTGGATAAAAAAGGAATAAAGTACTACAAGGAAAAGATATGTTCCGCGGGTAAGTGCGTGATCCGACTAAACTAAACACGGCGGAATTAAGTCAACGACAGACAAAGCCACCACGGACATAGCTGCCAAAGCAAGCAAACAAGCAATAATATCGTGAGCCTCGTGGGATGTCGTGTTAGGTGCGTAAAAGGTAGGTAAGAGGTGGGCAAGTAGCTGAATAGGGAAGATGCAAAGTGAAAGTAAGAATAGTCACCACCCAGACCGAAAATCGACAAATCGCAAAAATAAAAAAAGCGGGAGAAACCCCCCCTCAACACCACCAACCCTGCTACCACGGCAGATAGTGTTACGCAGACAGAGTGGGAAAGGAGAGGAAGAAGATAATTGAAGAATCATATATGAATTTTGAACATGTTCGACTTCGCAGCAAGGTTCACTTTCGAACATACCACACAAAGCTTCTGTTTAGGTCTTGCTCCTTTCTTCCCGTTTTTCGTAAGCGCTGGGACACGGAACGTGTGGACACATTTGCCGCAATAGCACTGTTTTTTTCGGAAATCTATCAGTTACTGGACCTCGGTCAGAAGTGGGGGATAGGGAGATCTATACATGACCACATTTAGACGCCCACACTTGCTCCTGCGTCTCATCGGTTGATTCAGCGCCTAGCTCTGTCTGGCATTCCGGGCAGACGAGTATGTCGCTATCTTTTGGGCTCCTGGTAAACCCCTCCCTAGCTGGCGGGGGTGCCTTGTAGTCTATATTTCGGGCCCTGGTGGCATCTTCAATCACAGGTGAGTCCTCGCGGATTATTCCGGGAGCACGCCGGCTGTAGTCTAAATGTCCGGGTGGTTGGAAGCCGCGATCTATTACGACGGGGCGGTTTCTCGCGGGTAAACTTAGGTTGTTGATTGCCCGTGGCACAGCGCCTCTAACGCTGTGGAGCATCTCCATGACACCATGGGGGGCGGGGTAGTTTGATCCCATTGGGTTGTATACGCCCATAGCACTTCTGCCAGAAGGTCCTGGTCCCACCATTCCTCCATGTCCTAGCATCGGGTCATCGGCCTGTGGATAGAATCGACGTTGGAAGGGAGCATCCGGTCCGACTTGACTGTAAAGCGCATTGGGTTCAACTGGCCTCGGGGGTGAAATTCGGCGATGGGGACTTAAGAATATCCCATTCCGGCCACCGACGCTCAACAAACCCTGCGCAGCATCCCTAGCGAAATACAGAGCCATCTCTTCATCGTACTGCTGTCCCACCCATTCAGCTTGACCAAATCGTGGTATGGGGTGAGGAATCGGCGACGGAGGGTCCGGAAGAGCATCGACATCAATCACCTCGGCTCGTTCAAGGCCAAGGGGAGGATGATGGCCAGGCCGGTCAGGTCTCGGAAGTGGTGGGGGAGAGTCTGTCAGGTCGATTATTGTTTGTGAGGAGGATGAAGACTGGGAAGCTCCATTGCGGTTTGCTGGAGACGGGCGTCGTTGAGATGGGTAACCTGGCAGAATCAAACCTGAGCCGGCGATTGTTGTTGTGGTTGCAGTTGTAGATGTGGCGACAGGGGAGGCGGAGGAGCCCGACGAGGGGCCTGCCTGCATTTGTTCCCGACTTCGCTAGGGAGAGAGAAAAGAGACAATTTGTGTTAGCGACCTTCAAACTTAACTGATCGAGGGGTGTATAAGTGGCGAAACAAATGGATCGTCTAACAGACCTTGCGAACTCGTCCTGCGTTCGGAGGGGGTGGACGAGAAAGTTCTTCCGACATGATTGGGTCCACACTTTTTGCGGAACCTTGTTTGGTGAGCCTTGCTCGGGATTCTGTGTAGCAGCGGTCGGTTGTATCTTCTCCTTCGGGTGGGAAAAGTGGTGAACTTGAAGAGAGCGGAGAAGGTGAGAGAAAAGATTAGGGGGTTAGTATGGAAGAAATAAATGGAGGAGAGGGAGAGAGAGGAGGAAGAGGGAGGATGGTGGGGCGGAAAAGGCGTCGGTGCCCTGAGAGGGTAGAAAAGACTGTTGTTGTGTCTCGAGAGTGTGGACATACTACCTACCTGTACAGTACAGGTAGATCCTGAGTGCTCTCGAATTACGAATCTCGAGGGCCAATCCGCCGAGGAATAAACAACCGCAAGTACAACCTATAGCAATAAGGTCAGTAATTTAGCCCCATGTTATCGTATACCAGCCTCATCAAGGGTTTTGCGAGGTTAACGGGGATAACGAGAGGCGTGAAGCCTAACAAGTGCTGGACTTCTATGGTACTTCGCACGAAGTTTTGACGCAAACGAGGGGTTGCAGTGCTTGTACTGTACGAGTACAAGTAAGAGTAATATTTTTTCCCCCACGACGCCAATTAATCATCCCTTACGGCAAAAAAGTCACGGGGTGCCGTACACTGACCAGGATGGGCGCAATATCGATAACGGGCACCCATGAGGTGAGAACCCAGGATATAACATCTGTGACGAAAGATTGAAAATTTTTGTTGGTAAAGGTTACTGGGTGACGGGTTGACAGTAATGGTTGGGTTTTGAAGGTTGCTGTATCTGAGGAGCACTTACAGGTAGCATACTGGATGGCAGGGCAACAAGAGGCAGGAGGTGTGGAATCGTCACTTGCAAGTGATCGAGTTCGCCATACAAAGCTCTCTCAACTTAAAAGCTATACAGTAGTAACTGTATCCTAGCATGGTGGAACAGTATGGGGACCGGAAAAAAGTGAACACTCTTGGGTATAATGGTGGCTTAAGGCAGCTATGAAATCTCTCCGCAAAAGGCTCAAAGCTATAATGGTTGCAGTAGCAAGAGAGAACCTCTCTGTTCTTATAATACATGTAACATCACAATTTGCCCAAGAAATGCATACCGAAAGCCGAAAAACAGTAGGTAAAAAAACTAAAAATAAAAAAAGTCCCGTGACGCTGCTTTAATGCTACAGGTGAAAAGAGAAGACAAGTTGCTAGATTTTCAGTGGAAAGAGAAAGAAAGAAAGAAAGGAGGAACGAAGGGAGGGTACAAGTGGGTTTCCTTTTGGTATTACGACCCCTCTCCGATTCCCAACCAGGTCAAAACTCCTTGCGAGTCGACAGCCACCAAACTGGCTGCGTTATTACCCCAAGCGGTGGAAACAGCGGAGACGGCAGTCCTCAGAGGTTCGGACCAAGATTTGGTAGATTTCGAATAGGCCTGGACACTGATTCCAGCTTGTCCACTGGTTGCGAGATACTGGCCAGTGTAATCCCATTTGACAGCGTCCACCCTGCTACCGATATCCAGAGCCTTAGTTTGTGTTATCTTTCTCAGATCCCAGATCTGAACATCGGTCCCGCCATTCAAAGCAATCGCCAACCAAAAACCATTTTCGGAGAAGCTCATAGAGGAAACGGTACCGCCGAGCTTGAAATCTGCGCCGATAACTGTGGTGCGGATATCATAAATAAGAGCGGAATTCCCGGTCCCGGTCGCGAACAGGTGACCATCAGGGTGGAAGTCGGCGGTGGAGATTTCTAGGGAGGTTAGAATCGTCTATGTTTCTAAATTGTATAATCAACTCAATGGATCATAGAACATACCATCTTCCCCGTAGGCCTGAATAACAGGTTTCGATGCCTCTAAATCGTAGACAACCCAGCTCTTATCTTCACCAACAGAGGCCAGAAGATCATCCCTAGGGTGAGCAGCCAAAGCCCTTAGCCCGCCAGAGTGAGCTTTAATGGTGGTACTATCGCTGCCCTGTTGATCCCATATCCTGAGAACACCACCTGCACTTGCTGTAACTGCATTTCTCCCGGCCCAGGCGACATCAACGATAGCACCGTCGGAGGCATTAAGAATAGTTGCCATATTCTCCTGGGCAAGTGAGTAAATTCCAGAAGACCCGTTAGCTCCACCAACGAGCGTGAGTTCGCCGGTAGCATCGAGATCAAGGGAGCTAGCACCAGAAAATGGTGTTTCCAATGTACGTAGGGTCTGGAAAGTCGAGACACTGTCTGTATCGGTCCAGCCTTGGGGAATAGCACGTTTTCTCCTCGAGGCGGATAATCTTCAACGCAATTATTTACCATTCCATTCTTCCGGAAGGGGTGACGGGGAACATACTGTTTCATGGTCTCATCGATCCTTTCTCTAACGTAATTTGGAAGGCCATCCTTATCAACCTCCATTTCATCAGGGCCACGACTTGGCCCCGGCCCGGTAACAACAGACAGTTGCGCGAGCGCCTCTCTCGCTTCATCTCGCTCTTTGGTAACTCTGGCGATAACTCTAGCTGCCGCATCATTTTGGTAGAGCGCAGTTGTAAGTTCTTGCCTAACCTGGACGAGTTGGCTGCGGAGCTTGTGAGTCTCAAGCATAATGGAGTCCCATTCGTCTTGAAAAGAAGTAAGTAGCGCGGGTATAGAGGTAAGTGTAGGAGGTCTCGGGCGGACAACCTTTGAGGCTGTAAAGTAAAACGTTAGCCAAGATCACAGAAGGGGAGGGGGAGATATGAAAACAGGTTGCAATAAAACAAACATTTAACTTCAATCAGATCAGCGATATTCAAATCTTCACCACTGATGGGATCGGTGCCATGCTCTTCAATGTAAGCCTCGATCAAGCGCTTTTCAAAGAGGCTACCAGATTTTGACGAGATGACGGGAACGGTTGGCGCTTCCCCAGAAACTGGAAAAACCATAATCATTAGCAATTGACCCTTCACGTGTAAAGAATATTGATCAACGCGACATACTTGCGCAAAACATTATGTTTCGAGTTGATGGGTGGAGAGCTGTCAGATGGTGGGGGAATGTTACTTGTAGAAGAGTTTGTAGTCAACTCGGGAGGGTCGGAGGGAGAGACCCAAGCTTTCGTGTTTCTGGGTGAACAAGGGCTTTGTTGATTCTTTTCTCAGCCTCATTGTGATGTGTCTTGGCAATGGTTTAGAGCTTGGCACAGTTGTATTGGCTTGTCAACTCTGCGATCATTACCTTGGGAAGCTCGAGCTTTTATGACCCTGTTACTGTGATAGTGGAGAGAGGTACTTTTTACTTTTAATTACGCTGTAAAAGAACAACGGGACGGGTAGTGGAAGTTGAACCGATGTTTTTCTCTCGGGTGCAAGCCTGTTGTGAAGTTTATCTTGAACAAAGCCTTGCCGGTAAGTTTAGAGTACAGAACTCGTACAGTACAGAACAGAACAGAACAGAACAGAACGGTACAGATAGTCTGCTCGAGTACTGTACTCGTATACGAGCACAAGCACCTCAAGAGAGGGCTTCGAGTACTTGCCAAAATCAAAAGTCCGTCACCGACCTTTACCTAGGCGCAACCGACTGAACCACACCCTGCTTGTAAAAATTGGGGCCCACCACTCATAACCTCTGGACATCACTAGCAACCCTGTTTTCCAGTGATATTCAGTGATATTTCATTTATGGACAATACTATCAACACAATTCTCCTGTTGTCTGGGCTGCCATAGCGGAGTAATTGCTGTGTTGCCACTGGCGACTATCTCGGGGACAGACTTTTGATTTTGGCGAGTATAGCAGCAACACGGCACTGGAATTCCATGGAGCCCAGGCTACTTACACCTGGCTCATGACAGCAACTTTGTTACACTGCACTCCCATGGCCTACTCCCTTCGAACTGTCGAAAATCCAGCCGATATCTCTGTCAAATGTTCGCAATTTCCAGGCAACCTCTTCTTTACGAAACCCAACGCATGTCGGCCAAAAATATATGCACAGCGCTGACCGAAGCCCAAGAGCATGAAAAACCAACCATATGCCCATCACAAGGTCCGGCAAAATAATAGTGGTCACCTGTAAAGACCACTTTCGGCCATGCCGATAGTCGAACCATACCATAGCAACCAAGCAATAAGCTCGGATGCCGTCCGAAAAGCAAAAAATAAGCTTCGCCCAGCAAACGTGGACACTCCACCACCCCGCAGCTGGAATACGATAAACCGTGTAACACCCCACCAGGACTGACCAATCCCACCACACCGGAGCCTCGTAGCTGAGCTGTCTTCGAGTGATAGTATATATTCCTTGCCATTTACCAAAGAAGTGTATAAACTCTTGAAAAATCCCATACTCCCCCCAAACTATCCCTTTATTTCGCCACAAACACCTCAGCATCATGCCACCCCAAAAAGCCCTCATCATAGGCGCTGGCATAACAGGCCCAGCAGCCTCGCTCCTTCTGCACTCCCTCGGCCTACAAGTCACAATATACGAACTCCGTCCTTCCCCCTCCCCCCTTGGTGGGGCGATAAGCCTCGCCCCGAACGCCCTCCGCATACTTGACAAACTCGGAGTCTACGAAAAGTTAAAGACCTTGGGGTGCAGCGTTTCCGTGACCCAAATGTTCTCGGCAAGCACTGGGAAAGCATTGGGCAGTTTGTGTTTCGGTGATAAGTCTCGGCATGGATACGAGAGTCTACGTGTGCCTAGGCGAGAGTTACAGAACGTGCTCCTGGAGAGGGCGAGGGAGCTTGGCGTTGAAGTCATATTCGGGCAGAAATTGGTGGAGGTGGTGGAACAGGAGAATGGAGTAATTGCAAAATTCGAAGGCGGAGAAGGAGTGAGGGGGGATTTACTTCTCGGCTGTGACGGGATCCACTCCGCCGTTCGGAGTAGGCTTGTGCAGACTGATAGACTCCCAGTGTACACTGGAGTCGCGGCATCCTATGGCATTGTTAAGAAGGCTGCGCTCACAGCGCCCATTCCTTTCAATACAACCGGGTTTTTCAATGGAAGGTGTGGGTCTATTATCGTCAGTTATTGCGATGCGGCCATGACGGAGGTGTATTGGGCGGCTGTTATGGAGGTTCAGAAGCAGGAGTCGAGGGATGGGTGGAGGACTGTGGGTGAAGATAGAGACGCAGTGAAGAGGGATGTGCTGAAGAGGTTCGAAGGGAGTGCGGTGGGATGTATTAAAGAGCTCATTGAGGAATCAGAAGACGTCTATTTATACCCCGTGTGGAAGTTGGGGCATGGCGGGAATTGGCATTCCAAGAGATGCGTGTTGCTTGGGGATGCTGCTCATGCGGTGTGTTTCAATTTTTCTCTTTCGAATCTTCTCACCATACCCTTTATGAAAAGTTACTAAGTGGGTAATATAGATGCCGCCTCACGGAGGAAGTCAAGGCTTTAGTCTTGCATTGGAGGACACAGTTATCCTTTCTCGCATCCTAGAGAAAGAAGGGCTAGACGACCTGGAGAGGGTATTCGTTCGATTCGAAGAGGTCAGAAAGCCGAGGGTGGATAAGGTTTACCTCCAGGCGAACAAGAATTGGGAGGGTATCAAGGACATCGGATGGTTTGCGAACATGATCAAGGAGTTCTTTATGTGGATTTATCTGATTTTTTTCGCAAAGAGTGTGGAGGAGTCGTATTTGTATGATGCGCACAAAGTGGAGATATAGTTTCTCATAACATCATACTTCGCTTATATTTAATGCTAGTAACCCCATCTGGAATCAATAGCTACCGTATTGCTGCAGGGACTTCCTATAGTGAAACTAGCGTACGTTCCCACCCGACCGAATCAGCTCTTGTGACGCTTAGCCTACAGTACAATTCCGGTAACTGGCCCTAGGGCTGGGGCCCCTTGAACCGCCTCTTGGCAACAACCCAGCCCGCCAAACAACCCAACTGTGATACGACAACCGCCTGTCATAGCCTAACTGATCTCCACTCCACAACTCCCCAGTTCCAACCCCCCAAATCCGGTATCAATCGCCACGGAAACCAAAAAGAGCAAACAAAAGAATGTCAGACGCCGACGATACCAGTCCGATCCAAGAACCTCTTGACCTTGTCCGCTTATCCCTTGACGAGCAGGTATTCGTCAAACTACGCGGAGACCGGGAATTGAGGGGGAGATTACATGTTTGAACTCCCACTGTTTCCGGTTGGAGTCAGGGTATCATATAAAGTACTAAGTGGGAGGGCGGTGATGGCTAGGCTTATGACTCCCATTGCAACCTTGTCCTTGGAGACGTTGAAGAGATGATATATGTTGTTGGCGATGATGAAGAGGATGATAGTGTTAAGGTTTGTTTGTTCGTGCTGGGTCAGGGAGGGTGTAATGGGCGGTTTGGGATGGGAGCTGATGGAAGTGGGGTGGATAGACAATCAAAAAACAATCGGAGATGTTGTTTGTTCGAGGTTTGCTCTACATTTTCTGAGGTATGGAAGGGAGAGGATAAGGCTGATGGCTGGAATTGGATCACAGGGGATTCGGTCGTTTTAATATCGCCTCAGGCGCAGTCATAATACCTTACTTTAAAGAGATGCGATGGGTGGAGCGAGCTACGGTTCGGGGAAAGAGGTTAGAGTGGAGATCATCGCATGGGAGGCTGTTTTTTGCTATGAGTTTTTCTGGGGTACCGGTATCTATATGCTAGGCTTCATAGCAGGGTATTGTTTTTTTTTCTCTTTTTTCTTCTTCGAAGTTCCAGGTTTGAGAGCGAAATAGACACTTTTTAGCTCTTGATTACGATGAATGGATATAATGTGGATAAACCGTGACTCCCCAAGATTGCCCGTTTTCCCCAGAAAACAAAGTGCCTCGGATTATATTGTAACTGATCATAAGACACCAGCCCGCTTCATTACCGCTTGGAAATCATTCCTATGGAAAGGGTTAACAGTGTTTTGAGATCGCAATGGGGGGTTACCAACAGGTCCACGCCTCTACTGATCTCCTTTGTGCAGGCTACCGCGAGCATCTCTCTTAACTGATCATCCGTAACATCTTCTTTGAGTCGATCAGCAACACGCCTCAGGTGCTCCATAGTGATAGGTCCGGGTTGGCCGGCGGTAAAGATTTGGAAGGCTTTCTCGGCTTCTTCGTGGACATCTCGATCTGTATTGCGGACTACTATTAACACCATCCGCCCACCATATCTTCACATAGCAAGGGACATGAGGAGGCAAACCTTTCAGTTTCAACGACGCGACCGGTAGGAACCTTTCGTAAGTGACCAAACCCTCGTCATCTGGATCGACAATTTCGAGTATCTCGTTCATTTCCTCCTTTGAAGACTCGAATCCCATGCCACTAGGGTGTTCCACGAGTCACTATAGTCTTGCATAAGGTACAGCATATAGGATCAGAGCTCACATCAAGACTCTCCTAACGTCCTTTGTAGCAATCACTTCTTCACCGATGTCCTCCGAGGCCTCTTCGTCGACGTACATCGACCACACCTCTGCTACCTCCTCTTCCTCTTCGGGTGTTAAGTCTAGCTCTGCTACTAGCTTCGAGGCCCTGCTAGCGCGAGAGCGTTTCTTCGGAGGCTGTGATTGATATGATGCGTCAGCTGTTACCCACCAGCGGCAAATATAACACAGCGGGTGAGAAAATACCATTTTGTGTTTGAAGGGTTGGTAATTATTTGTTGTAAAGACTGATGCATGCACGGGGCAAACTACCGGGCTTGGGCCTCGTAATTTAACTCCGATGACTGAATTGGAAAGAAGGTACGGTAGCGGCGGCCAGGAAAGACATGAGACGAGACTAGCTTAGAAATCTTATCCTGATTAGATAAGATAAGATTGGTGGGGTTGGATTTCAAAGAGAATAAAACTCAATTTTTGCCCCTCGTTCGCTCTTTCACCCCGACTTTTTCTCGACACCGCAACCGCTATCATACACAAACCACTGCTATAATATAGGAAAAAAATGGACCTGGACACAGTCCAACTCCCAGTCTCTACTGGGAAGGCTCCCATCGCAACGTATGCTCCTTCCCACCTCTCACCTCTCCGTCCAAACATTAATGCACAAACCATAGAGTCCTCTGCGCAACATGCGGTGCCCCAATCGACGGTTCAACCGGTGTGGCAATGTGTTATGACTGCATAAAACTCAACGTTGACGTCTCCGACGGCATCCAACGCGAGGCCACAATTCACTTCTGCCGCGGCTGCGATAGATGGTTGCAGCCACCCAGCCAGTGGGTCTCCGCAGCGCCCGAGAGCAGAGAGTTGCTCGCGTTGTGTCTGCGGAAATTGAGAGGCCTGTCGAAGGTCAGGATTATAGATGCCAACTTTATCTGGACGGAGCCCCATTCGAAGAGGATTAGAGTCAAGATTACTGTCCAGCAGGAGGCGTTCCAGGGCACGATTGTACAGCAGAGCTTTGAGGTTGAGTACATTGTTGCGTATCATCAGTGCCCGGATTGTGCCAAGTCTTTTACTGGTGGGCGTGGTCTTTGCTTGTGGTGGGTATGCGAGTGTTGACAGTGGTTTTATAGCGAATACTTGGAGGGCGTGCGTGCAGGTTCGACAGAAGGTTCCGCACAAGAGGACATTCTTGTACCTTGAGCAGTTGATTTTGAAACATAATGCTCACAAGGATACCATAAACATTCGGGAGGTTAAGGATGGGCTTGATTTCTATTACTCGCAAAGGAATCACGCTACGAAGATGGTGGACTTTTTGGGAGCTGTTGCCCCGATCACTTCGAAGAAGTCTTCTGAATTGATTTCAACAGATATCCATACTAGCACTAAATCCTATAAGTTTACATATTCCGTTGAACTGGTTCCTATCTGCAAGGATGACCTAGTGTGTATTCCGGTCAAGATGGCAAGATCACTGGGAAATATCTCGTAGCTCCTCTTCTCTCCAATTTGCTTGGAATGGTTACTAACAAGCAACCAGTCCCCTCCTCCTCTGCACCAGAATCGGAAATTCCATCCACTTAACGGACCCCGGCACCCTCCAAGTGACTGACGTCCAAACCTCAGTCTACTGGCGTGCTCCCTTCTCCTCCCTCGCAGATGTACAAGAATTGGTAGAATTCATAGTCCTAGACATCGAACCCTTAGGCCCGACACATGGCCGCTTCGTCCTCGCAGATGTACAGGTCGCCAGAGCGTCTGACATGGTCTCTAACACCCAAAGCTACCTCCTCCGTACACACCTTGGGGGTATCCTACACCCAGGCGATTCAGTGCTTGGCTACCATCTCAGCGGTGCAAACTTCAACAACCCGCAATACGAAGACCTGGAACGCACAGCGCCAGACCAGATTCCGGACGTCATACTCGTAAAGAAGAGTTATCCCCGGAAGAAGAAGAACAAGAACAGGAACTGGCGTCTTAAGCGTATGGCTCGCGAGGAGTCGGATATGCTTCCAAGGAAGCAGGACCAGGAGCGTGCTGAGAGGGATTACGAGATGTTCCTTAGAGAGGTTGAAGAGGATACAGAACTTAGGGCTTCATTGGCATTGTATAAGAGCACCAGGAAGAATCCGCCCAAGACACAGAGGATGGAAGGAGTCGAGATGGAGGGTACGCGGGAAGACGGGGGGGCAGAACCGGGGGACGGGATGGAGCACGAAACCGAGGAGGAGGACGGTGATGACGGCGATCTCCCGGAGATTGCGATACACGAGTTATTGGATGAATTTGAGGAGATGCATGTGCAGGACTGATCGAAAGCCTATTCTTAGACTCTCTTCTATATTACCCGAAATTTATGTGAGGGGAGGGCGTCTTGTGCGGTCCTGTATAATATCTTGCTCTTCCCTTCCCTTCCCTTCCCTTCTGTTTTCTTCTAATTTCACTTTTTGCTGGGGCGATTGGATTGGTCTTTTTTTCTCTCCCTCCTCTATTTTTGATCCGTTCGATGTATTTCTCCGTTTCTTGTCCGTCCAGTGCCGTATAATCTCACTAGACCCACCATGATACCAGTACCGGCAGCCGGTATCGTGTTGCCAACGGGAACCGGCCTGTCAACCCATGATGGGTTTAGTTTAGCGAGTTAATGGAGTTACGGATACTTGTTCCATACCAGTTAATGGGATACGACATGTCCATTATGATCAAACCTACGACATGGCGCTTTTGTTTTCATATCAAACATCACTAGATTTATAGCCTACCGGACAGTAAGTTGCCACACCCGTACCCATTAGCAACGCATTCCATTAGCAACGCATTCCACGCAAATACCAGGCACCATCACAAACTTTCCCCGAAGCTGAGCCCATGATACCGCACTGCTCAAAGCCGCATAGACTACGAGTACGGTACTCGAGTACCGGTGGGTCACCACTCACCGCGCCGTGGAACGCGTTTCAAGCGCCATACCGGCACAGTAACCCGAATCCCCCCAATCGACTCAGATCCTAATTCTTGATTGGTACCCCCCCTTTTTTTTCTTTCTTCTCCATCCCTCCTCCCTTCCTTCCTACCCTTGGTCCATTCCCAACTTGGCAATTTCATAATTTCCCAACTGTGGAGTACGAGTACAAGTATGGTGCCGGCACCTTAGAATCGACCCCAAGCTCCGTTCCCCCTATTTTCCTCCTAAGTGCAAATTGCACTTTTTTCAACACCATACAACTATCTCCAAACTTCGTGTAACGTGACTTGTCAAGTTCCACGAGGACCGTATACCCACACCAATCCCACTACGCCATGGCTTCGCATAGTGAGGAGATGGATACCGAGTCCCTCCCTGAGACACCCACACTGGCTGGGAAAGGGGGGTCAGACGCTAGTTTCATACAGGTGCAAAAGATGGCATCGGCCCTTTTGGCTGAGCACGGACCTGGACAGCATACCCCGATCGTGGACCTGGTCGACAACCTTGAGGTTTCGGACCTGGGAAATGAAGACATGACTATGATGGCGATGATCTCGGCCCTGGCCACCCAAGTGAAGAAGCTGACTGTGACGGTTCAAAACCTGGCACGCACGGTCCAAGATCAACAGGCGGAGAAAAGTGGGCCCGTGCCTCAAAGGCCCGCCCAGAAAGCAACAAGCATCGGGGATAAGACGTATGCCAAGGCGGCGGCGACGGCACAGACCCCCGAGAAAGGCAAGAAGAGGAAGGCAAGCGAGGGTCCGACCCCTCCCAAGCCACCACAGCCCAAGAACCTGAAAGGGGAAGAGGAAGATGGCAAGACGGACTCAGATGGGTGGAAGGTGCAGGAGTCCAAGAAAGCTAGAAAGAAGACGGCGGCGGCAAGGAAACTGTTTGCGACAAGGGTGTCATCCAAACCTTTGGGAGACCCTAGCCGAGAGGAGGCCAGGATCTCGATGGCAATCGCAGATGTCCTTACCTGTTGCGAGTGCAAAGCCCCCACCAATCTACAGGTTGCTTCCAACAAGTGGAATGGTACGATCACCATCACGACTCCCCTGAACAGCGATTCCGGTCATTATACCCGATATTTGGACAAGATGACGGAAGCTCTAAACGCGACGATAGGGGAAGGGGAGCCAAAATACTTGGACTTCAGGAGAGCGCCGACGGACGTGGCGGTGTTGATATACAGCATGCCGTTTGATGCCATCCCCGACAATAACGCAGACCTCGACACGGAGATGAAGAAGACGTTCAAGGTCGCACACAACATTGGTATAACGAATGCACGTTTCCTCCGCAAGGATATGGGGGACCGCAAAACAAAGAAGGCGACTTCGATTGTGGTCCGGATGCCCGAAGCGGATGCTGAGAAAGTTACCCCCCAGGTACTCCTCCTGGGAAAGTTTAAGGACGCCAAGATCATGTGGCATGCCACTCCTACGACTCAGTGCACCCGGTGCTGGAAATTCGGACACCCCAAGGTAGGATGCCTCGAACCAGTGGACTTGTGTCCTATATGCACCAAGCCGCACGCGGAAGCCGACCACAAATGTCACCAGCCTAAGTGTGCTGGATACAAGCGAAGAATACCTGATTGCTGCCTGATGACCCCAGCCAAGTGTCCGGCATGCGGGGGCAAACACTCCGCAAGGAGTGGAGAGTGTCCCGAGCGACAGAGGGTTAAGGAGGAGGCAAAACAGAGATATGACCAGCGGATGGCGTCCCTAGCCAAAGCTGGTAGGCCTGGCACCAAAGATTAGGCCAGTTGGCCGTCATGGCGGGTGACCCAGGTGACGAGACGACGCAAGGAGTGAAGTTGAACATTGTACAGCATAATTGCTGAGGGAGCAATGATGTTTTTATTTCTTTATTTCACATAGTTAGGAACTTTAGGATTTCTTTTGTGTGTGTGCAGGACCCGCCTTTATACGACGGGGAGCCCCTGCGGGCCCCTGGTTTTGAGTGTTTGTTTCAGCGGACCGATAAGGTCAGAGTTTGTACTTACGTTTCTTTAAGGTTGCTGCTGCAGGTTTCGTTTGTGGTGGTACCGGGAGGTTTTGATTATTTGTATTTGAGGGTTTTCGCTCGGAGGGGCAACTTGGTTGGGGCCAGTCGCTCATTTGGGCTGATTAACGCATATAACAGGCAGCTGGGGGGCTCAGACACGGTCCCGGCGGAGCAGCTATTTAGGGAGACGAATGAGCCCACCTTGGTAGTGGGAGACTTGAACGTACACACCACGATGACGGACCCACTTAGGGAGCTGGCGCATGGCGAGAGGAGGCGTGGCGAACTATATATGCGGGTGGCGGCATTGGCGGGATACTCTATACTGAATACGCCAGGGGTTCATACAAGGTTCCCGGATAATCCTACAATACACCGGCCTTCCGTCCTGGACTACTCCTTGGCAAATGCGCAGTTGCTGGAGAGGGTATCGAGATGGAGGGATCTGACGCAAAGGACTGGCTCCGATCACATCGCGATAGTCACATATATCGACTCGGAGGAGATAGAGTTGGCCCGACCGGCCCCCGATTGGGACCAGATTCGGTGGCGCGTCGATAAAGGGAAACCCAACCCCCTTATCGAAGAGGCGTTAAAAGGCTATTTCGGTGGGACACAGGGATATACGCGTATTACGGAGGGCGCCCACGTGGTGGAAAGGTTTCAGGACAACCTGAACAGGCTGATCCACCTGGTGAAAGGCATGGCCCCGATGAAAAGACCGACGAGGTGGTCGAAGGCGTGGTGGAAGCCAGAGATCACGGAGCTCAGAAGGGTATACACCGCGGCGGCCAGAAGGGTGGAAAAGGATGGGGCCGGGGTGGAAGAATGGAAGTTGGCCAAGAAGGCGTACAGGAAGGCGATTCAGGTGGCGAAGTGCGAGTATTGGGACAAATTCCTGGCCACAGCAAAGAAGAATGATGTGTGGACAGCGCATCAGTTTACGAAACAGAGAGTGCCGAACAGAGTCCCGGGGGGAGATGCTGGGAGTCCGGAGGTGGCAGAACAAGCGATTATGAGACACTTCTTCCCCCCCAATCCAGACCCGGTGGGCAGGTACGAGGCGCGGAGACATTTGCTAGAGAGGGACGATAGGGTCTCTCCACTGGAGGTTGGGGAGGCATTGAGGAAGGTTAGCAACAAATCCGCACCGGGGCCTGATCAGGTCCCGTATGGAGTGTAGAAAGGTATCCATGGGATAAACGAGAAGATCATCCTGGCGTTGGTGGAAGATATGCTGGAGTGGGGCATACACCCGCCGATGCTCAAGGAGTCGATCGGGGTGATCTTACCGAAGCCAAACAAGAGCAACTATACGGAGTGCGCAAGTTTTAGGGTCATTGCGCTTATGCAAACCTTCTCTAAGATAGCCGAGAGGGTAGTTAATACGAGGCTAATGAAGATAGCTTACGAGAGCGGGATGTACTGCATTAATCAGACCGGCAGCTTGCCACAGAGGTCCACGGCGGATGCAGTGATGTCGCTACAGCACTGGATTAGAGAGGCGCAGTTTGCGGGAAAGAAGGTCTCGACGGTCTTCATGGACGTGAAAGGCGGCTTCGACAATGTCGACCATAGAAAGCTAATGCAGCGTCTGGAACAGAACGAGAAGATCCCCGAATACCTCACGGATTGGGTTCGCGACTTGATCTCGACGTGAGAAATCACATTGGCATATCCGGGCAGTCCTAGGCGGAGTAACAGGGTTGACCTCGGCATACCACAAGGCTCACCATTATCGCCACTACTGTTTGTAGTATATGTGCGTCCACTGCACATAGATTTCGACACGGCAGACACCTTCACGTCATCCTACGTGGACGATTTCCAGATCACTGTGGCGTCCACCTCTTGGTATCGGAACGCGAGGATGCTGGAAGAAAGGGGGCAGCGGGTCATGGCGGTGGCCCAGGGCCTGGGCCTCTCTTTTAGTGTTGCAAAGACTGAAATGATGCACTGGCGCACGCGGAGACAGCAGGGACCGCGCGCACAGGATGAGATCACGCTACAGGCGCACGGGGTTCAACCGGCTGGGACAGTGGTGAAGTGGCTGGGATACTGGCTGGCGGATAACGGGGACACGTCTACACACTTTATGAAAAGGCTGTCGCTGGCCCAAGCGGCTTTCTGGAGGATTCGAAGACTATCGATGCTGGGCAAAGGACTCTCGCCATATGGAGCAAGGAGGCTGGCGAAGGGGATATTGTTACCGACTATGTTGTATGGAGCGGAGGTACTTGAGCCGTCCGCAACGATGCTGAAGAAGATGTAGACCTTTTGGAATAGGGTGTTGCGATGGGTCACTAATGCATTTTACGCTACCGATGTAAC